GTGGGCGGGGAGGCGCAGGCGGGCGCGCGGGCGCATGGGGAGGACCGGGGGCTTCCCGCGACCCCTCGCTCCGCCCCGAGAGCAAACGACGCTCTGGCTCTCCTGCACGCTGGGTGGGGAACCCTATCCCACCCCCCGGAACTCTTGGGAGAGGCCGGGCCCCCCGCCGGGTTCCATCCACGCACCAGCTTCCGCGCGCACTCCAGAGCCCCCCCCCTCCGGTTCTCAGCCCTGCCCACGTGCCCTCGCGCCTCTCCTGGGATCCGCGATCCGTCTTCGCTGCTCCACCAAGGTCCCCTTTACAGAGGGAGCCCCTGGAGCTGGGAGCAGGGCGGGGTATTCAGGCCTGACCTTAGAGGACGCCCTCCCACCTCTCTGGGGCCTGTTTCTTCATCGGGCAGCGGACAGAGGCAGGGGCCCGGTTCTCGGGTCTTGAAAACAGCTGCTGTACCAGTGGCAGCGCGGGTGGTGCCAGCAGGTGGAGGGATCCAGGCCTGGGACCCCCCAGGAAGGAGGTTAGGCTGGTGGCAGGAGGGCCAAGGGAGAGAGGGGGCTCCCTGCAGGGCTGTAGTGTCACGGGGTGGTGGGGTGGTGGGTGGGCTGGTGGCAGCAGAGGCTGAAACAGCCACCCGATGCCAAGCTGCTTGGGGTTGGGGTGGCGGGGCCCCAGCACACAGATTGGGAACCTGAGGCAGCGGACATAGGCGGCAGAGGGCCGGGAGGCTGGCTCTCCTTGCCCATCGCTGGGGGTCCCTGCTGGGATTCTGGGATAGCCAGCTGGGCCACGTCTGCCCGTGGTGGGCTCAGGGCTCTAGTGCAGTTGAGCCACCATGGGGTCACTCTGGCCACCCTTGCTTTTCTGGCTGGCTCAGTGGCCTGGCTGAGGTGGGGCAGGCACATGGGGGAACATGCGCTGCTGTCAACTTGGGGAGGCCTAGACAGTGGGGCTGTGTCACAAGGCCCCAGGTCAGCGTGGACCAGGACCCCACCACCCCTGACCCTGTGGACTGTCCCAACTTCAGACCTCAGGCTGCAGCACTGTGGTGGCTCAGGGCCCCTCCCTGCTTGGGGCCGGGCCCTGAGCCTCACCCAGAGACACCCCCTCCCCTGCGGGAGGCTGGGCTAACCCCAGGGAGAGCCCCGAACCTGTGGCTTCCTCAGCCCTGCTCTCCTCTCCTCCTGGTAAACACACACGCCCACCCCAGGGGACGCAGGTGTTTGTGTGTCTTTTGGGCGCTGGCGCTCAGAGCAGACGCACTGCTGAGCCGGGGTGCGGGCTGGGCCCCCAACCCAGGAGAGGATTCCTGCTGTCTGCCTTCTGTTGCTCTTGGCCCCCCCATTTAACCTGGGGACCATGGCGCCAGCCCCAAGCGAGTAAGGGGTGGAGAGGGCAGTGTGGAAACCCCTCTCCCTGTGGGTGCCCGTGTCGACAAGCCCAGGCAGCAGGGTCCTGTGTCAGGGTGAGCTGCTAGGAGGGTGGCTGGAGGAGGGGTGCTGGGACACAGGTAAGAGGTGGAGTGGTGGGAGGACTCGGTTGTGGGGATCATGAGGAGCCCTTTCCTGCGTGCAGAGCCGGGAACCGTGAGCAGATGGGGGGATGGGGCGGGGCTTGGGCCCAGCAGAGGTTGGAGAGGGTCACAGCAGGAGGCCTGGGCGTCTCACTGAGACCCTCGTTGTGCTGGTGGGGAAATTGAGGCCGAGAGGCTAGTGATGCCAAGATGTTCTGGCCTGTCTGTGGGCAGTATGGGCTGGGCACTCTTTCTGGGGCCCCTTGCTCAAGGGAGAGACAGGTGCGGAGGAGTGTTTCCCAAGGGCCCTGTCACATGTGGCCCCACTCCTGGCCACCTGCAGCTGTCACCACCTTGGCATGTGCCTGCCAGTGCCCTCTGAAATTGGTGTCTGTCCTCGCTACTCTGAACTCTGGAGGCAGAGCCCAGCTTGTTTATCTGCGGAGCTGGCAGGACTTTGCGGGTGGCCAGGGGCGGGGGTGACTCTGGGAGGCAGAGCTGATCCAGGGAAAGCTGTTAACATGGCTGTGAGGGGGGCCGCTGCCCCCTCAGCCCTTCACCTCGGCGCCCGAGCCCCTCCCCACGAACGGGCTGCTCCGGAGAAGGCTGGACTCAGACCTTGCCCAGTGCAAAGCATTCGCGGAGGACAAGGGTGACTGCCCTGGGGGGTGGGGGTGTCTGCCGGTCACAGACTGCAGCCAGGCTCAGGGTTTAGCCCGAGGCACCACCTACAGAGCCGTGATCCACACACAGGTTCACAAGGTTCTGTGAGCGAATGTGTGAGCTTGCATATGTAATGGTGCGAGTGTGTGAGTGTTGTGTGTGAATGCATGTGTGTGCACGTGTGGTGGTGTGAGTGTTATGTGTGAGTACCTTTGCGTGTGAGTCTGAGCTTGTGTGTGGTAGTGTGTGTGAATGCATGTATGTATGTGTGTGGTGGTGCGAGTGTGTGTTGTGAGTGCTTTCATGCATGTCTGTGTGAGCACATGAGCTTATGTGTGATGTGAGTGTGTCATGAGCATATGAGTGTGAGTACAGGCCTGCATGTATGTGATGGTGTGTGTGTGTTGTAAGTGTGAGTGCATACATGCACATCTGTGTGAGCTTATGTGTGTGTGGTGTGAATACAGGCATACACATGTGTGATGGTATGAGTGTGTATGTTGTGAGCACGTGTGTGTGTATACATGCACATCTGTGTGTGTGAGCTTGTGTGTGTGGTGATGTGTGTGTGAGTGCAGGCCTGCATGTGTATGATGGTGTGTGTGTGTTGTGAGCATGTGTGACAGTGCATACATGCACGTCTGTGTGTGAGCTTGTGTGTGTGCTGGTGAGTGAGTACAGGTACACATGTGTGTGATGTGTGTGTTATAAGCATGTGTGCATGTGTACATGCACATCTGTGTGTGAGCTTGTGTATGTGGTGGTGAGTACAGGCCTGCACATGTGTGATTGTGTGTGTGTGTGTGTGTGTGTGTGTTGTGAGCATGTGAGTGCATACATGCACATCTGTGCATGAGCTTGTGTGTGTGGTGGTTTGAGTGAGTACAGGCATACACATGTGTGATGGTGTGTGTGGGTTGTGAGTGTGTATATGCACATTGTGTGAGCTTTGTATGTGGTGTGAGTACAAGTGAACATGTGTGTGATGGTGTGTGTGTGTTGTGAATGTGTGTGAGTGCGTACATGCACATCTGTGTGTGCTTGTGTGTGTGGTGTGTGAGTACAGGCATACACGTGTGTGATGGTATGTGTATTTTGTGAGCATGTGAGTGCATACATACACGGCTTTGTGTGTGAGCTTGTGCATGTAGTATGAGTGAGTACAGGTGGACACGTGTGATGGTGTGTGTATTTTGTGAGCGTGTGAGTGCATACATGCACATCTCTGTGTGATCTTGTGTATGTAGTGTGAGCACAGGCATACACATGTGTGATGTGTGTGCTGTGAGCGTGTGTGTACATGTACATCTCTGTGTGTGAGCTTGTGTGTGATAATGTGAGTACAGGTGTACATGTGTGATGGTGTCTGTGTGTGAGCTTGTGTGTATATAGTTTGAGTACAGGCGTACATGTGTGTGATGGTGTGTGTGTTATGAGTGTGTGAGTGCATATATGCATGTCTCTGTGTGTGAGCTTGTGCATGTAGTAAGAGTACAGGTGTACATGTGTGTGATGGTGTGTGTTCTGAGCATGTGTGTGTACATGCATGCCTGTCTGTCAGCTTGTGTGTATGGTAGTGTGAGTACAGGTGTACATGTGTGTGATGGTGTGTATGTTATGAGCATGTGTGAGTGTGTACGTGCCCATCTGTGTGAGTGAGTACAGATGTGTATGTGTGTAATGGTGTGAGCATGTCCCAGAGCCCCATCTTTAGGGTCAGGGATTGGTCTCTTCCTGTCTGCCTTGTCCTGGTGGTAATGCAGTGGCTGTCTGCTGTGGCTGGTCACCTCAGGGCCCTGGGCTAGCTCTGGCCTGGAGGTTCATTCTTAGGCTCCCCTGTGGGAAAACTGAGGCCCCGGGAAGGTCACCGGGAGGTGCAGGGACTGTGACGGGGAGCGGGGCAGGCAGAGTCCGAGCCCTTTGCAGGATCCCACGCCCTGACCCCCTTCTGTCCTCTCCCCAGACGTGGCCTGCCGCTGACCAGCCTGGCGTCCATGGAGAGCCCCTCAGCGGCTGGCACTGAGTACTGCCGTGCCCAGCATCGCCCCTGCACCCGCCGCCTCTGAGGCCGCGCTGCTGGCCCTCGCCGTTGCCGTCGCCCGCCCCTGGCCGCCGCTGCCCGGCCCGGGGCCGGCTCTGCCGCTTCAGCCCCTGGCCCACCTCCTGGACTTGCAGTGCCCTGATGGGGTAACGTGACTGGACACCGCCCCACACCGAGGCCATCCCTGCCTGCTGAGTTCAAGTTCGTTTTGCCTTTCGCCGCTAGGTTTGGAGCCCTGCCACCCATGTGGAGAGTGTGGGTCAGCCACGACACTCCAGGAACACGGGGGACACGGCCACGGCGGCCCGATTCACTGTGGGCTTTTTAAGTTTTCTTGCTGCATTTTCCTTCTTCGTTGGTCCCCTGTAATCAGCTAGTTCCGAGAGACCCGGCTGGGGGCCCCTGGACTGTGGGGCCTCGTTTGTTCCCCTGCTGGACACTTGGCCCGTCCCTTTGTAAACCACCTACACGCTGCACAGTGTCCCCTCCCGGTATTTGCACAATATTTGTGCGGGGTCTGCGGTGGAGGGCGGACGTGGGGTCCTTCTGGGACAAGCACAGGGCCGTGCGCCTTGAGTTTTGTGCGCTTGGGGGGGGTCGCCCTGTCCTGGCCCAGTCCCTGCCCCTTCCGCTGCGTGGGCGGAGTCATGGCACGGATGAACCGGCCGGCGCCAGTGGAGGTGAGCTACAAAAACATGCGCTTCCTCATCACGCACAACCCCACCAATGCCACGCTCAGCACCTTCATCGAGGTGAGTGTGCGCAGTGGGGCTGTGGGAGCCAGCAGGGCCAGTGTCGGGGTCAGGGCTCGGTGGGACCACGGTCGGGGCTCAGTGTGTGATGGGGTCAGGGGTCAGGGCTCAGTGTGACTGGGCTCAGTGTGACTAGGGTCAGGGCTCAGTGTGAGGGGATTAGGGGTCAGTGTGAAGGTGTCAAGGTTCATTGTGACCAGGCTCAGTGTGACAGGGTCAGGGTTCAGTGTGGGTCAGGGTCAGGGCTCAGTGTGAGGGGCTCAGGGCTCAGTGTGACAGGGTCAAGACTCAGTGTGACGGGCTCAGAGCTCACAGTGTGACAGGGTCGGGGCTCAGCCATGTGACTGGGGTCAGGGCTAGAGTGTGAGTAGTCAGGGCTCAGTGTGATGAAGTCATGACTCAGAGGGTGACAGGGTTAGGGCTAGAGTATGACAGGGTCAACTAGAGTGTGAGGGGTCAGGGCTCAGTGGTGACCATGATCAGGGCTCCGTGTGTGACCACGATCAGGGCCCACCCAGCCTGTGGCCTGGCATCACCCAGGGATGTAGGTGCCCTGCCCCCAAGCCCGTCCACCCTCTGCCCGCCCCCTGCATTCTCAGAATAGCCCAGGCCAGTCCTCTCTGTGTCCGGTGTCCCCGTCGAATGACAACAAGGCCCAGCAGCTGACTCCTCATACTCCCAGAATAGCTGCTGGGAGGTAGGTGGGAGGCAGCCCCACATGGGGCTCCACAGAGAGGAACCTTCTCCCCCAGAGCAGAAGTGATGTCCCTGTCTGGCCTGAAGCCCTCATCCTGTCCCCAGTGCAGGGCATCCCTGCCTCGCAGGTGTACAGGACCCTCCCCGCCCTGAGGCCCTGCTCCCTGACCAGCGAGGGGTCCCTTCCTATCCCCATCCATGTATCCCTGGGCAGGAGGGCCCACATGCAATCTGGGGTGTCCTGTCCCTGCTGGTGTCACCCAGAAGGGGCCTGGCTGGTGAGACTGGGTGGACAGATGAACGGGGAGGCTGTGGGCCAGGCGTCTGTTTGTGGACTGGATGAAGGTGGCAGGGGATGGTGGTCCCAGCCCCTTGTCACCCCTGGTTGTGGATGAGCTTCGAGTCCACCAGTGGGGTCCATGCATTTCCGCTAGAGCCAGTCTGTCTTGTTGAGGGGACACGACCCTGCTTCCCCTGAGCCATGCTTCCCCCAGCAGGACCTGAAGAAGTATGGGGCCACGACCGTGGTACGAGTGTGTGAGGTGACCTACGACAAGACCCCGCTGGAGAAGGATGGCATCACCGTGGTGGTGAGGCCTGCAGGGTGGTGGGGGGCCCCGCTGCTATCACTGCGGGGGGTTGCAGGTGACGGGGCCCAGTGAAGGGGGCAGTCCGGCACATGGCCCCTCATCAGCGGGGAAGCAGGGCTCAGTTGTCTGAGGCGACACGCAGAAGCTGGACTCCAGCCGGCAGGAGTCTTAGCAGGGGTGGGGGCTCCGGCACCCCGACAGCCCTGCCTGGTGGGGAGCGGCCCCCCGAGGCCAGTGAGCACCCACCCAAGGGTGTGTGGAGTTGGATCCCAGCAGGCAGTGCGTGGCTGAGAGCCTCTGTGCCACGCCTGTCTCCAGGGCCGTGACTGTCTCCATGTTGGGCCCTGTCGCCTGGCAGCAGGTGTGGGTGGGGGGTGGCAGGCGTACCCATGCACCAGGCGGGTCCCTGGAGGCTCTGAGGAGGCCGTGGCAGGGCCCTTGGGGCCATTTCCCTGGCTTCCCTGGCCCTGGGCCCCATCCAGGTGGAGAGTGTGGAACTCTGCTGTGCCCCGCCCTGTGGGATGGGGGCCACAGAGCTACGGGGCCGGCCTGCAGGGTCGTCCCAGCCTGGTGGGAAAGTGTCCCTCTTGGCTGGAGACATGAAGTGGGGGCCGCCCAGTGTCTAGCAGAACCCCCCAGCTCTGCTGGGCCCAGGTGTCCCCTCCTCAGCGCCGGGACCCTCTGTTTTGACAGGTGTCACTGTGCCAAGTAGCCACTCACAGCACTTTGGAGCTTTGGGGACAGACAGGTCTGGGCTAGATCCTACCTCTGCCCCATCCCACCCACCCGGGGCCTCCTGAGTTGCTCAGGCCTCAGGTGTGCTCCTGCAAAGTGCGGGTGTGTGAGAGGACGAGTGGGAACTATGTGGAAAGCACCTGTCAGCCTGCGCGTGGTGATGGCACGCCCCTCACAGCACTGCAGCAGGAGGGATTTGGGTTAGACTGAAGGCGACCAGAGGAGCCCTGGTGGCACAGTGGTTAAGGCACTTGGCTACTAACTGAAAGATCAATGGTTTGAACCCAC